GATAATCGGGCTTAGGTGGATCATAGAGTTTAAATGGGTCATTGGGCTCAGGTGGATCATTGGACTGAAGTCGATCATCAAGCTTAGGTGGATCATTGGACTCCAGTGACTTCACCAGTAAGTGTGCTCCATCCACATCAATATTAGTATGGGAGAGAGAGAGAACAAGGAGTGTTTGGTTTGCATGTAAAAGATCAGCCAGTGAGCGACAGCTTTCAGAAGTAACCTCTGAATTGAAATCAAATGACAGAAATGTAAGAGTCATGTTAGTTTTCAATGAATGTGCCAGATTTTTGACCCCCTCATCATTAATTGTGTCATGAGTAAGCAATAAACACTTCAATGTTAAGTTGTTTGCAATCAGTACAGAAAAATGGTGGGTGAACGGCTCCTTAAATGGGGATGAGTGTATATTGAGACAGTTTACAGCCTTAGTCTTAAAAAGAAGTGGTATAAGTGATTCTAGAGCATCAAAAGTTAAGCCCTTGAGACAAATCTCATCCTTGCCCTCCACATATTGCTTTGAGGATGATTCAGTAATGCGCTGTACCTCAATGTTAGTTTTGATTTGTTCTAGAAAAAATAATACAATAAAAGTTTATATTTCAGCATACCAGGAACAGATCCAATCTGAGTAATCTCATGTTTAATTTGTTGCAAATCTTGTAAACAATGTTCCAAGTCTGCCAACCAGAGTATACAATTATAATAAATCAATGATAAATTTTACGTACCAGCTATTCTATCTTCTTTCTCTTTAATGTTAGATTTAAACCTCTCATTCTCAAGTATCAATGCTTTATTCATTTTTCTCTGCATCTGCAGTTCAGCAACAGATTCTAAGTAAATAAATTGAACCTAGCATTGTTGATTTAATAAATCATTACGAGATAGTTGTTCCAATTTTTTGTCTTTCTCAGCTACAAGATGCTCCAGTTCTGTATTGTGTAAACAGGCAATTAATTTTTTGTTGCACATATATCACTATACTTTCTATTTTTCTTCTTGATTCTTCTTTATCTTCTTTGTGCTTTTTCTTTAACACTGGAAGTGAATCAAGCAGTGATGACAACTTTTCATGCATGATATCAAATTCTATTTCTATTTCATCTAATTGAATATCAAAATAATAATATTATTAAGTAAATTGATAATCATAATAATAAATATTTCAATCATCTTTCTTCATTGTCACTAATGATTTCTATAATTTTCTTTTTACTAACTGTTTATATTGCATTAAAATGAGCCCAGTAACAGTTATATGCCTTAATTTTTCCAATTAAAAGTATCCTTTTTGTAGATGGAAATTTTTTGATTCTTTTTATAAAATCATTCCTGGATTGGCATTGTCCAAATTAACAAAAGGATGAGTGACTTAATGTACAAATTATCAGTTGAGGTACCCGGTTGGTCTTTCTCTTTCATTAGTTCTTGTACTTGTTTCTCCTTCTCAGCTAACTGTTGCTTCATTGACAATAGATCTCTCTCCATGTCTATGTGTATATAAACCACATTAAGAAGCTGAATATTACACAGGTTACTGTATACCTTCATAATTATTAACCCTCTTTTTGGTAGGTTGCTCAATTTCCTTAGTTGTCATTGCTGATAATACCTTTAATATGAAACAATAATAATAAAATGAAATATTAATTGTCAACTGTTCAAGCCATACCTCATGAGCAGTATTGTTCCATATAGTACAGTTGCCTACTTTGAACTCCTT